AAGATATGCTAAGGCACATGGAGGCCAGCAGTGTGCTGTTCCACACGGCCAAGGGCCGGGTCCTGCCCTCGGGTCACACCTGCCCTGGGGGAGGAGCGGCCGGAAGGGCGTGCGGAGGAAAAGGAGCTGGGGGTGCTGGTCGGAAACCGGCTGAACGTGAGGCAGCAGTGTGCCCAGGTGGGCAAGAAGGCCAACGGCGTCCTGGCTTTTATCAGGAACAGTGTGGCCAAGGCTGGCGAGGGGTCTGGAGAACAAGTCTGATGAGGAGCGGCTGAGGGAGCTGGGGCTGTTCAGTCTGGAGAAGAGGAGGCTGAGGGGGAACCTTATTGCTCTCTACAACTCCCTGACAGGAGGTTGTAGCGAGGTGGGTGTTGGTCTCTTCTCCCAAGTAACTAGCGATAGGACGAGAGGCAATGGCCTCAGGTTGTGTCAGGGGAGGTTTAGACTGGATATTAGGAAAAACTTCTTTACTGAAAGAGTGATCAGACATTAGACCAGGCTGCCCAGGTGGTGGAGTCCCCATGCCTGGAGGTGTTCAAAAAGCGTGTGGATGTGGCACTTCAGGACATGGTTTAGCAGGCATGGTAGTGTCAGTGTGACAGTTGGACTTGATGATCTTAGAGGTCTTTTCCAACCTTAGTGATACTATGATTCTATGTATTGCTGAGGTCTTACGACAATTGAATCTGTAAGCTGAGACATTAGCGCATACATTAATACATACATTAATGCGCTACACATTACCAATCCCCCAACTTGTTGCCTGGGACCAAACTCTTTTCAGTGGTGCCCAGTGACAGGACAAGGGACAATGGGCACAAACTGAAGCAGAGGAAGTTCCATCTGAACATGAGGAAGAACTTCTTCCCTCTGAGGGGGATGGAGAACTGGAACAGGCTGCCCAGGGAGGCTGTGGAGTCTCCTTCTCTGGAGATATTCAAGACCCACCTGGACGCGGTCCTGTGCAGCCTGCTGTAGGTGACCCTGCTTTGGCAGGGGGGTTGGACTAGATGACCCACAGAGGTCCCTTCCAACCCCTGCCATGCTGGGATTCTGTGATTTTGGGATAAATAACACTCAGTTAAATCCCATGCGTAGGCTCCCATAGGAAGAAATCAGGTTGTTTATTAACAGCTGGTGCTAAATGCAAGAACCACTGGGGTCAGAGTGATGGCACCACCTGCCAAATGCGCTGCCGAAACACCAGCTACAACTTCTGTTAAAGCATTTCCTTAAAACTTTTCAGACTTTTCAGTATTTGGGTTGGAGTTAACACACAACGTCCACATGATGCTAAAATGGCGTTTTCAAAATGTGTTGACCAAACCCACTGACATGTCTGTGAGAACGCAAGTAAGAAGGTATGCGTAGTTTGGCCAGTGCTGACTGAGGCTATCTGAGAACTTTTGTGTCAGGTCCTCTGTTCTGGAGATGGCCTTTGGAAGATGAGCTGCTTTTGTACCAGCAACACTGTTTCTCTGACAATTCTGCTTTGAAAAATGTCAGTTTGCACAGGCTCAGTAGAAACTCTTTGAGTTCGTTGGTTTAAATCCTTGAAGTCTGTTCTTGCTGGGATTTTGTCTTTGCAGTTTCTGATGCCAGCGTTGAGTCAGGGCCAACTCAACCCTACGGCCTCTCCATGCTAGGAGTGAAGAGGCTGTCGCTCTCAAGTACGGTGGGGCAGGCTAAGAACAGGCACCAAGAGCAGGGGACCAGTCTGTCACCTGAAAGATTTCACCGACTGAGCCCAGACAAGAGAAAGGAAGATAATTCCTATCACAAATGCGGGTGGAATGAGAAAAAGAAAGCAAAGACAAAACATCTGGTGATACTCAGGTTGGAGTGAGTGAGCGAATTTGTGAATAGGTATGGAAATAGCAGACTGGAAGCGCCAGAAGACTTTAGGAGGTGGAAGAAACACGTACAGGACCAAAAATAACAGTACTAGCTCTTCCCTAATCTAAGCTAATTTCTGTTTCTGTAATTATTTCAATTATTTTGTCTAAGCAGATTAGATTTTTAAGTGGTTAAATTCAGAACACGAGGACTATTGATTCTGTTCATGTCGGATCCCGAAGATGTAATTTACTTTGTCTATGTCAACATCCTAATCTAAAGAGTTGGGACTATAACCGGCTGTTGTTATGTAGTCCCGAAATAGGCAAAGTTGTGTTTAATATTTGTAGAATATGTTGTCGTCTTCTAATGACGGAGACATAGATGTTTTTAGCAATTGTTCCTTAATGCTTTTTTATGTGTTTTGCTGGTTCGCAGACAATTATTACTGAAAGCTGCTGGGTGTGGAATCAGCAATTCTTTAAAAGGTTTTATGGAATTTCATTTTACTTGGACAGGGTAATTGTATCACTCTTCACTGTGTGAACAAAAAGTAACTGTATTCTCTTTACCAGCAACACATTGCAGTATGTATTGGTTGTGGGATGGGTTTTCATCGCTACTACTGTAGCTGAATCCTGAAATTATTTTGTATAAAAGCTTGTGGCAAAGCCCCTCTCCAACTTCGAAGCCATCGTACCGGAGCAGATTATTACTCGCATCGCCAGAATAAACTGGTTTGGGCTGGAAACAGATTGAAATGACAGAGGCTGATCTGTGTGAGCGACCAGCACAAGGCTGGCGGTGAACTGGCCGCGAGAGGCGA